CATAAAAATAAAATTGATGTTAATGTAAATAAACAAGCAATGATGTTGGACAGATTTCTTAAAAGTGGCAGTAATAGCAAACATCTTGTGTGTACTGTATATATTTAAATCAATTAATATATCTACATTTGTAATTTTCTTAATCTGTGGCCCGTTGACCCGACCCGACTTGTTCAGAGCTCTAGACTTGAATAAAGTTCTTTGAAAAAAAATTTGGGTTCAGATGAATTCAAACAATACATTGATCAATTCACTGAGGATAAATGTGACAGAGCTCATGTCCCAACTCTCATTCATAAGACCTATATTTCTGGAAGGTTTGATCCCACTTTCTATGAAGCTCATGACATAGCTCAACAAATATTAATGCATTAGTAAGTGCTTATTTGTATGTTAACCAATTCTTCATGTTACTTACTTTCTATGAATAGTTCCGTCTGTTTGGAAGCACCAATAAGTCACAAGGCTAATTGCTTCAAATGTGAAAAAACATATGCAATTGATACTGCAATTTATATTATGAATAAATTATTTCAAATGCATAATGATGAGCTTGTGGGTGGATGGTAAGTTCAATTGTGAGTTTAAAATATTGATTATCTTTTCTGTTCATAATTCTATTTCAATCTGGATTTGTTCTCACTTGGCCTTCATATAGCCCAGATCTCAATCATTTTGAGGAGAAACATGTCAAAAAAATGATAGCACAAAAAAAAGCATTTCACAAAAAAAAAATTATTAGTACATGTATAATTAGGGAGGAATGGGAAGGGATCAAAAAAGATAGAATAGTTAATAGCAAAATCGAGTTCAAGCATGTATTGACGCTGAAGGAGCTCATACCAAGCATTAACATCATAATAAAATTATAGCTGTACTGTTTGGCTTTAAGAAAATATCTTATTTTTTTTTTTAATTTATAATAAATTGCATTTTTTATTTGTAAAAAAACACGCGCCACCACTTTCGCCGGGGACTATGTATTGATATGCTGTATTAGTAATAGTAATAGTAACGGTTTAATGTGCGCCATATTATATTTGTGATTGATAATTATTATTTTCCTTTTAAAAAAGCTATCCTCCTCAACATCTATTTGATCATCAAACAACACGTGATTAATTAATTTTAAATCTAAGGATTTTTTTTTCTCAATTTTATAAATTGATTAATTTGATTGATAAAATGTCAAACTTAAAAATTTTAGTTGGTAATCAATCAATTAATTAATAATTTTGTTTATTTTAATTTAATTAATCTTCAAATTTATAATATGCATATATGGTTATTTTAGGCTGCAAAAAAGTTATAGATTATGCCATGAAAATTCGTGTAAATTCTTCAAAAAACAATTCTTTTGGTTTAATATGGGCTCGAAGACAATCAAATCAATCACATCAAAAACCAACACCAGCAACTGTACAAGTACCACTTTCAATCAAAAGGCCTAAAAGACCTAAAAAATCAAGTTCTGAATCATTGGACCCTAAAACAAAAAAAATTCTTAAAGGTTTATCACTTGTTGGTGCAGGTATAGGGATATTTTTTATAGCATACTCAGGTACATATATCTCATTTATTATTATTATTTAAATATATTATTAATGTTTTAATAATTTACCATTATTCTTATAATTTAGGTCGGCCTTTTGAAACAGATAGAGAGAATCAAGTAAATATCTTGAATAAAAAAAAACAATTTAAATCAAAAAATTTATCAAACAGTAACAATTATTATTATATATCAGTATAAAGATTTAGGTTCTTTCACAGCATGGTATAAACGAGTAGAAGCACGCAATAGAGATCTTTTCCATGTAAGATAAAGTATGAGAATAATAATGAAATTTATTATATTAATTATTGATTATACATATACATATAGTTTTTCACAGAACCTCCATCAGATAAATTATTACCAGATAAAGATGTAACAAATAGTCCACCACTTACTCTAGTAATAAATTTAGATCAAACACTTATCTATTCCAGTTGGGATGTGAGTATATTTAAAACTAATCAAAACAACAAAGATGAATATTTCAAAAAAATTTTAGGTTTATAACTTTAATCAATTAATTATTTCAAGTTAACACACACCCATTAAATAATAGAGGGAACATGGTTGGCGTACTGCAAAACGTCCTGGCTTAGACTTTTTTTTATTTGTCATATCTAATTTATATGAAGTGGTTTTTTTCACTTCTCAACCTTCTCATGTAAGCCTGATATTTATTATACTCATGAAAAAAGAAAAATATAGAAAAATATATGTTTATATTATATTTATATTTTTAGGTTGGTGAACAAATAATGGGTCACCTAGACCCTTTAGGATTGGTCCCCTTTAGATTATTTAGAGAGTCAACAAGATACGTTGAAGGAAGAATAATTAAGGTATTATTAATTAATAACATTTCATTTATATATTACATTATATATTCTGATATGCTATATTTTATTTATTTATTAGGATGTTTCCAAGTTAAATCGAGATATTTCCAAGGTTATAATAATGGATTCTAATCCTGACTCTTATTCATTACAACCTGAGAATGCAATTACTGTACCTCCTTGGAAGGGCAACCCTAATGATACATTTTTGATTGACATCATACCATTTCTTGAATGTAAGTATAATGACAATTATATATTATTTTGATTTTTATTAAAGTTTCATCTTTATTTCTAATAAAAAAAAAAAAATAGTTTTTGTGTTATTTAATATCCAAGATGTTCGTGAAATACTAGTACAATACAAAGAAAAAAATATCCCAAAAGCTTATGCAGAATGGGAAGAAGGATGGAAAGAAAAGAGTCGAATAGAATGGGAAACATCAAAACACTCAAAAAAAGGTTTAGCCAATATAGCTTCATATTTAGGTGGTTCACATATGGTAAAGCTTTATTTTCTTCTAATTTTTAATAAACCAAAAGTTTATTAAATTTATTAAAATTTAATAGCAAGAATCAATGGTACCACCATATGAACAAAAATTTCATGAAAGGCAAAGTTTAAATAAGCATCTTCATGAACAATTTAAATCATTGAAAGAACAAGCACCAGAAGCTCAAAAAAGATGGAAACAGGATTTAGAAAATTATGAAAAACAATTTAATGAAAGCATGAAAGAACAAAAAATGACAATTTGGCAACTTGCAACTAAAGTAATTATTATATTTAATATTTATATAATATTTGAAATAAATTTTTAACATGTATTAATAAAAATTTTTTTAATCAGGGTCCTCCACAAATTTCTATACCTCCACCAGAAATATCACCAGATTTGCAACATGCTCAACATTCATGATACAGTCCCTGGCAAAAGTAATGGCATGTGATTTTTTATGAATAAAAAATGTACTTTATTAAAAATTTTAAAAAAATTTTTTTTTTCTTAAAGCCAAATAGTATGGCTATAACTTTTATTATGGTGTTAGTACTTGGTATGAGCTCCTTCAGCATCAATGCATGCTTGAAACTGATTTTGCATGCTACCAATTCCATTAACTATGATGTTTTTTTCAATTCCCTCTGATAAATTTGAAACCCTTTTTTTTTTACTATCATTTTTTTGACATGTTTCTCAACATTATGCTTAAAAATAGCCCATATATTCTCAATAGGATTGAGATCTGGGCTATATGAAGGCCAGGCAAGAACATGTCTTGGAAGGTGGGTATTCATAACATCCCTAGATGTATGCTTAGGGTTGTTATCTTGCTGAAAGACCCATTGGCCACCTAGTGATGTTAGCCGGCTAATAATCTGCATGCATAATTTCTAAATTTGGTAATAGATTTCTGCGTTACTTTCTTGT